TACATAGTACATACATAACATACATACATACATTGTACATACCCAACATTAAAAAAAATAAAAATTAGAAATTAAAAATAATTTAAACCCCCAGTACCTTTCCCAGTTATTGCTAGAGTACCACAAGGTTCATCTTGAGTGAATTTAACATGGTGGTGCATCAGGCCCGTACATCCACCCCCAGGCCATTTGGTATAACACCACAACTTTGGAGGTGCCGGTGGTTTAACAAACAAATAAGGATTTCGCTCTACTATCCCTGAAATTAACAAAATTGTGTTTCGCGTTCCACAGTTTCCTGAAAATTTGGTTTCAAGGACGAGTCCTTGAAGAGGCTGCCATTTACTTGCATTTAGAACACCCCCCCATCCCCAAACAAAAAAAAAAGGCAAAAAAAAAAGTTTGTGCTTCAGCCAATCGGATTCCTTCGATGCAGGATGCCGTTGCCATAGTCCTTAAAGCACCACAACCTTTCCCAGCCAACTTGCCGAAATGCACCGGTTAACACGGAGGCCGCACCCGGCCTCTGGCGGTGGCCAGATGCGCCGCCAAAACTCGGGGCGCAGGGCCCCCGGCTCATAGGTGGGAAAGGTACTGGCGGTTTAAAGCACCACTACCTTCCCCTCATATCGGTCGCGGGGTGGGTCCTTGCATGTTCCGGCGCCCTCCAATGAAAATTTTCAATGGTGGCCGGCATTCGGCCAAGCCCCTGAAATATGCCCACTTTTCCCACTTTTCCCAACACTGGGAAAGGTACTGGTGGTTTAAGTTTCAAGGATCCCGTGAGGATCCTTGAGAAATGGGGGGGGAAAAAAAAAAGGAATTTTGAAGAAATGGCCGGGGAATCCTTGAAACTGAAGGACTAACCTCTGAAAAAAAAAAAAAAAAACGTTTTCACTCCATTTGTCGTTGATTTTCAAGCTTAGAGTTTGTGATACGACAATCCTCAAAAAAAGCTTTTTTCTTTTTTTTCAGAGAATATTTTTTCTTTATTATTACAGCCAGAAACCGGGTCCGGTGTCACTTACAAGAAAAAAAAAGCATTTTCAAGAACCGTGGAACAAAATAAAAAAAAAGAAATTTGAAGAAATGGTTGGGGAATCCTTGAAACTCAAGGACTTCTAGTCCCTTAAAAAAAAAAAAAAAAAAAAAAAAAAAAAAAAAAAAAAAAAAAAAAAACGTTTTCACTCCATTGTCTTTGATTCTCAAGCTTAATCATAAACTCTTTTTTTCTTTTTCTTTTTTTTTTAACAAAACAGGGCCCTGGGTCCTGGCTCCATATCCATTCTGGGGAGCATCAGTCCGGTTCCTTTTCCCCCGGCAAGTCGAGAGAAAACAACGATTTACGCGCACACACCTCCTTCCGTCTGGCCGAAGGACCCCTGAGCAGCATTGATTGCTCCAATAGCGGAGGATTGACTGTCAGCTTGCCTTCCCCTGTGATTCCGCTCAGGCTCTCTCATTCTGAGGCCGTCAGATAGACCATAATGCAAGAACAACAGAGAACCCAAGCTGCAACTGAAAATTCCTTCCTCGTCCCCCTCGTGGGTGAGCGTTTCCTTGGCCCTTGTAGCGGGCCTATGTTGTTCCTCTGAGATCTTGTGGTTCTGGCCGATGAGTTCCCCCATGTCCCTGGGGCTGAGCAGAGTTGTGCCAGTCCTTCCGCTGGAGATGAAGTCCTCGAATGTCTGCTATCTTTCCTCCAGCCAGCCACATTCTGGTAATTTTTTCCCGCAGCACGGCGACAATCCTCGAAAACAAGCATTTTCAAGAACAGTGGAACGAGAGCGAACTCACAAGTGCGCGAAGCAGGGGGGGGGGGGGGGGGGCGGACAGGAATGGGCCAACGTAGGTCGGGATTACCAGCTCAGATTTCGAGACCGGACTGTGGTTGACCCTGGCATCCCCCTGAGGCCGGCCGCGGACTTCGCCGACCCTTTCCCCCCTCCCACCCACTCTCCCTCGTGGAACGTCCTTAAAAAGGGCCTTCTTGACTCGGTTTCCAGCAGAAGCGTGTCAAAAGAAGGGGTTTGCTCCAAGGAACGCTGTTCCACGATAGGTCTGAGCATGGGACATGGGACGCGGTTGCAGCAGTAGGATAAAGACGGCAGGTTTCTAGGGAGGGGCAGGGAGACGGATGGTGCTGCTGGTTCCCCCCCCATGGTCCCCATCCTGTCACCAGGCCAGGGACTTGGATTGAGGAAGAGATGGCATGCTCGACCCGGTTTCCAGCAGTTGGAAAACCCCCAGGTTCCCCAGGGTTACACATGAGGGATGCTGGGCCCGGTTCCCAGCACGTGATGCTCCCCACGAATAGATCGGACCCGGCCTTGTTTTAAAAAAAAAAAAAAAAAAAAAGAGAGACCCTAAGAACTCCCAGGCACATGGAAACTACAAGCGCTGCAACATGCATGAAACATGTCATCAGTCTAGCAATGAATATTTTGTTGGCCAGTCCGAGTGTTGGGATGGATTGGTACCATAGAGCTGCCTTGTCTCTCAAAATCAACAACGAGTAAAATTTTAACTTCATCAGCCACTTCATGTGTGAGTGTATGTGTGTGTGTGTGTGTGTGTGTGTGTGTGTGTGTGTGTGTGTGTGTGTGTGTGTGTGTGTGTGTGTGTGTGTGTGTGTGTGTGTGTTTGTGTGTGTGTGTGTCCCCTACATTGGTTTTGTATCCCACTTTAAGCGACCCTTTCACCAGCACTTGGAATTTCTCACAGGAAATCTTTTTTTTTATAATTTGCATGATAATGTTGTGATCTATAGAATCAAAACCGTTAGTTATGTCGCCTTCGATGGCCCACGTTTGGTGTTTTTTCATTCCTACATGGAGGCTCGCAAGAGTCAGTGGTGGTGCACCAGCCCGTGTGGCTGAATTCGAGTGAATGGAATGGTACACCCGTGAACTGCTGATAAACAGACCTGAGTTCAAATCCTGTCGGACTCAGGTCAGTAAAATTATATAACTCCAAATTACCTGGGGCCCGTCAGCTCGATGATGGCACCTCAATCAACACCGTCACCCTTTTAAAAAAAAACAAAAGCAAAGCAATAATCCACCCCTCATATGCTGGGTCGACGGCCACAGGCCGACCCGACAGCCTAAGGCTGAGCAGCGGGCCTACCCCGAGGCCAAGAGGCCTCAAAAATGGGCTGCAGAGGCCCTGCACCATACAGTTGACTAAAGTCATCTGTACAGAGGCCCACGAGTCAAAGTCATCACGGACCCAGCCCAGGCCACTGGTCAGACACACACACTTGGGTGTATGCAGGTATCCAGGCAGCATTCGGTCCAAGTGGACGTCTGTACCCCTATGAGATCCAGGCCGTCGACCGTGGGTGAATCTGAGCCTCCGTGAGTGAGGGACCAGAGGCAGGTCAACCTCGTCAACACTACTTATTGACCCTGCCCCTGGGAGTCAACATTCAGTCTTGCTTTGCTGACTTGACGCTGGCACGACGCTGGCGTGATGGTGGCGGGACGCTGGCAAGACGCTGGCATTGTGCGACGACGACGCGAGACTGCTGCAGTACGTGTTGGCGCCTCTCTACTCTGGCGCCAGCTGTCTTCTTGAGTGCTGACGTGGCTTTTGTCACACAGTCTTTGACATTGCTGACGTGGCGCATGCCACACTGTCTTCATTGCTGATTGGGATGCGACAAGGAGGGAGATCGGGATCTGTGGATTGATTGAGTGAGAGAGAGGAGACTTACCTGTTGCTGATGTCGACATTGCGTGCTGTTGTGACGTCATCATGGGAGAACTGTGCCACGTGGCACTCTGATGTGCCCAGAACTCGTCAGGCTTGTTTCTGGGACACTGTTTGCTGACGTGGAGAGGGGGAGTGGGGATTGAGGGGTCTCTATCTACCTGGACAATGATGGATACTTTCAATTCCACCTTCTATGTCTAATCTCCCTCTCTCCTCTTTCGTCCTTTGGTTACGAGACATTTGTATTACAGGCCACACTTCACGATTATTGGGGACATTTATCAGCGCTGAGTTATCTTGCATTTCGACACTTGACAAGTTTCCTCCAGACTGGGTTCATTACAAAAGGAGTCAGTGTTTTTTTTTTATTCCTACATGGAGGCTTCGAAGAGTCAGAGCTGCGGCGGAGCCTCTTGTGTGTGTGTGTGTGTGTGTGTGTGTGTGTGTGTGTGTGTGTGTGTGTGTGTGTGTGTGTGTGTGTGTGAGAGAGA